GATAAAGATAAAGATAAAGATAAAGATAAAGATAAAGATAAAGATAAAGATAAATATAAAGATAAAGATAAACATAAAGATAAAGATACAGATATAAAGATAAAGATAGAGATAAAGATATAAAGATAAAGATATAAAGATGAAGATATAACGATATAAAGATGCAGATATAAAGAAACAGATATACAGAAAACGATATAAAGATACAGATATAGAGATACAGATATAAAGACACGGATACAAAGATACAGATATAAAGATACAGATATAAAGATATAGATATAAAGATACAGATATAAAAATATAGAAATAAAGATACAGATATAAAGGCAGGATATAAAGATAAAGATATAAAGATAAAGATATAAAGATAAATATATAAAGGTAAAGATATACAGATAAAGGTATAAAGATATACGGATAAAGATATAAAGATAAATATATAAAGATGAAGATGTAAAGATAAAGATATCCTTCAGAATCAGGATTCGAGCTTGGCTTTAATAATGGAATGGCTAACAGTACGTCTTCTTCCGTAATCGAAAAGGATGTAATAGTTGGTAATGATGCAGAAAGAAATGTAGGTGATGCGACAATGTCGTGTTTTTCGTAAACTTTTTGAAAACATTTTGCTAACAAATCGCAAGAATCAAGCGTGTTATCGGAGATAATACCATCATATTCTAAGCGAGTTGGAAAGCCATTTGTTTTCCTTCTGGAATCAATAAATTCCCAAAAACTCGTCGGATTGGATTTCAGATTCATTTCTACGTTGTACATATAGTGCCGATATAAGAAGTTATGAAGACAATCAAATTCTTTCCTTAAACGAAGAAAGTTTAGACGACTGGCTTCAGAATTATTTAATCTCAATTTTTTAATAGCTTTATTTTTCCTGTTCCTTAAATTGCAAAGTTTTGAATTAAACCACGGTGGCTTATTACCAGTCGTACATCGTTAAGTCCCAAAATATAATATACATACATATACTTATATGTAAATTAGGGTGGGTCGAAAATCTAATTTTTCTCAAATCCCTTGGTAATAGTGAATATATATTGCGTCATGAAGTAAACAACAAGCCTGCAAAACATTAGTATTTTATTTTAGTTGTAAGAGCCCGCGCATTGACCGCGAAGTGACCCACAGCACACTAGTCAAATAAGACCGATTTCTGTTAAAAATTCTGGGTTCAGCAAAAAGGTTTGTTGCATATTATTCGATAATGAATCCGGTAACGCAAATGATAATGTCAAATATCATTTCTCGCAGCCCTCTAGCTTATCTTTAATCTCAAAGTTATCTGTTTTCAATAAAATTTTAATTGTTCTCTTGATAATTGCACTGGCCTATAGTCAAAAGATGTAAAAAACAGAATTATTATTTCTGGCGTGCATTTAGGTCGCTTGTTCCAAATATTCTAATCTTTTTTTAAAATTAGCTATAGTTTGCGTGTTTTTGCAAATTTAGGAACAGTTTCGGTAACTCTAATAGAAAAGCCATAATTTTCCACCATCGTGGAAAAATTTTGTTTATGCAAATGAGTATGGAAACACTGAACAGGTACAACTTCTAGAAACAATAATTCGTGTACTTATGTTTATGCATACAATATAAAAATTGCAAATATAGTGAGATAACAAAAAATTTTGTTCAACATTTTTTTTATTTTAAAATAATTTTTTTATAATCTGAACGATTTTCATCATATTATTATCATAAATCAGTAACAGTAAGTCTCGACTTAAATTTGGTAATTATTACGTACCGATCGAGTAACATTTAGCAAAGCTAATTTGCAAAAATTAAGTGGATCTCCAGTTTTTTCTTAAAAATAAATTATATTCAATTGTATAAATATTCTTTAAATGAAAGAACCGGATTACAGAAAAGTGTGCCACTGAGTGACTTTTTCGTTCAAGCAGAATGCAAAGCAATATCGTCCAATCGGAGAGTCCTTAAAAAGGATTTCCCACGATATGTTAAAGACTATTGCATTCATCTACAGTCACTTTTTCACACAATGGAATTAACTAAAATATTTATGTATACCTAAAACTTATTGCACATCCCCTCCTTTCATATAACGGCAAATTTAGAAACCGCGAAGTATGTGCTTCTTCGGTGACTAATGAAACCATTCCGCACCAATTTTCAAAACTGCATAAATGGACTTAAAATGGGCATTTCCCGCCATAATTGTACTATGTTAATGTATTTAAATACTTATATGCTTGAAACTACTATTAACTTATCAACCGATTCCTTATCTCTGACAATACATGTTTGACTTCACTCACCACGATCTTGAAAACTGACCAAATCGGCGTTACCAAGTCCAGGGTCATTTTAATATTATATAACCATCCGAAAATATTAAAACGTTTGAAATAAATCTCGTCTCACTTTTTTGTATTTTTCTCTTAAAAACGTGTAGACTTATTGCAAAATGATAAATGAATGTGAGGTACTAAACTTAATAGCCTTTAATTTGATATATCGCCCTGTTTATAAAAATTGACGCATTCCATAGATGTTACAAGCCAAAGATTCATTTTCAAAATTCATACACTTTGATACGATTGCGCGGGCTAATGATAAGTTTTAAATTAATCTTTCTTGTCCAATAACAACTGGCTTAGACCTAAGACATCAAAATATTACTATTACAATACGGCCAAATGCCGTTTATTTTCCCCCATACAAAATCGTCCCAGCCTAATGTATATGTATAGATATTATAAAATTAAGTCCCAAAATGGCTTTTTGCAAGTTAAAGCTTAGCTGTCTGGGAAGGATAATTTCAACATTATTTGAATGAACCTATAAAAAGTGCGTGTCAATATGCCAAAATGTGCTAAAAAATCTTGAAATCGTTTTTAACCCTGTTATAAATCAAAAACGAATACATCGATTGAAATATTCCTTCCTTGCAGTTAAACTTTGAAATGATTACTTACGTTCTGCATTAAAAAATAGTTAGTTATATTCTAATATAACACAAATTTGTGAAACAAAAGTGATACTATTTCAAAAAAAAAGACTGTTTGTGTATATGTTCGCTGTGTGCTAAATGTACCAAGCTGCGTTAAGCGGGAAGATGCAGGCAAAGCAAAGATGCGTAAATGTGTGCGCTTACGCAAGTTCATTTGTTTTATCGTTAGTGAATATGTTCGCTGTTCGCTAACTCCAGTAAACACAAATAATCAAGCAAAGCTAAAATTAACAAAGTATGCTCTCTGATTTCTCTATATCAATGCTGACCACACCAACACAGTCTCATTTTCTCGTGGTATTAGTGCGCCGCGCTCAGTTATGGTTATAGGTATAGTAAAATAATGGATCGTGGAAGTTTTTAGTAACTAATACTATTAGTTTATAGAAACGTTCAACTTACTTATAAATATTATTCGTTCAGTATTTTTGCGTATAGACCAGCATTTAAATTTCTATATCGATTTATTTAGATAGAAACAAATTATTCTAAAATATGGCATGCAATTTGTGCAATTTCATATTAAAATCATGGAACTTATTACACAATTATTGAACTTTGGTCAGCACGCAGTTCATTTAATTTTTTTAATAATTATTTAAATGACACGGCATAAAATACAGATTGCTTATACTAATACGGTTATGCCTACGAACCGTATAACGGATATTGCGGCTTGTTGAAAGTTCTTTGAACAATAAACTCGAGTTCTTATATAGGGTCGCACTATTTGGTGTTTGAATAGTCGCAAATGCATGCAAACATCAATCTAAGAGAAACACACCACTTTTTGCTTTGGGTTCTTTTGTAAATTTTCTACACAAAATGTGGCAAGCGCGTGCTAAAATTATGAAGAAAAACAATCCACAGCCGAGCATGATGTTACCTTGGTGAAATTTGCAATCTGAATCGAA